TCCTCAGCACTGGTCGTCGTGGAAGTGCATGTCGTTCTCCAATCAGCTCATCAACAGCGCACGCTGTAACCATGCAGTTGGCTCGGAACTCCGCGGGCTTGCGGGGCGCGTTGAAGCCTTGTGCACGCGAGAAGGAAGGTCGAATGGATAGCACCAGAAGTGGTCTCGTGGACGAGTACGCCGCCCCACGCGACGGAAAGTGGGCAGTGCTCTGCCAAGATGATGTGCAAGGGTCCTTCCATGTTGGACGTAAAATGGACCCTCAGAGATACCGCACCTATACTGTAGTCGTGCGTCCGTGCATTTGGCAGCCCATTTCACAGGCTGTCTCGGCTCCGGCAGCTACTCCGCTGCGTGCCTGTTGGTTCCCCCAGCGCGAAGCGCATCTGGAGATGCGGCCCAAAAGGGTGTATTGGTGCGCACGACCACCTGCGGGACATTCCAGAGCCCGAATACTGTAGCATTGGCATGAAGCAATCGGCCTTACGGTTTTCCTCCGCCTGATCACCATTGCTATGCACGCTCACCTTGGGCCATTCTGGCGTGGCGCTTTACTGGGCTTGATCAGCATCGGCATGGAAGCTCACTTTGGCCATTTCTGGGCCCCGCATTCCTGGGCCTGATCAGCAATGGCATGAAACGATCGGCTTTGCCGCATCCTGCGCCCGCATCCCTCGGCCTGGTCACGATCGGCACGCCCGATCGGGCTCGCGCATTCCTCATCTGGTCACGATCGGCATGTGCGATCACGTGGGGCCATGCCTGCGCGCCAGCATTCCTCAGCCTCGCCACGATCGGTATGCGCGATCACGTGGGAGCATGCCTGCGCGCCAGCATTCCTCAGCCTGGCCAGGATCGGCATGCCCGATCACGTGGGGCGGGCCAGCATTTCTCAGCCTCGCCACGATCGGCATGTGCGATCGAGCTTACGCATTCCTCAGCCTGATCACGATCGGCATGTTCGAGTGACCCTGTTCCTTGCATGACGGGATGATAGGGTAAGCTCGGTGTCCGTCCGAACTTCCGGGACTGTTTATGACAAGGCCAGAAGGCGGCGGAAATCGGGGTGCGCCGCGGGGGTTCTTGCTTACTCCTTCCGCGAGAGCTACCACCAATGATGAGTGGTCTAATCAATTCATTTTTCGCATTTAAGCGTCGCTGCCCGCTCAGGTCTAGAACTACTCCTCCAGCCCCTCCCCACCTCTATTCGCAAGCACAATCTCGATCTTCTCGCCCTCCCTAACGCCGCTCGCCCACGCACCGTGCACGCTCGCGAACTCGTCCATCTCCGTGTGCTCCCCCGCCCAGAACAGCCTCCCGAACAGCGGTCGGCTGAGCTCGGTCATGTCCAGCGGGCTGGGAGCGGCCGTCTCCTCTGCCCCGGCTTCGCTAGGGCGGAAGGGGGGTATGTAGCAGTACGACCCTTTGGCATACGGGTCCGACGCCCAGCTGGTGCGGACGACCCGTTCTGGCACGGGCGGCTCCGCCCCGGGGCAGAAGTACCTCCCCACCGTTTCCCTCGCCCACTTCGCGACTTCCTCCTCGCTGAGCTGCTCGAGGTTCTTCCCCCCCGACCCGCCGAGGAAGAAGCAGAACCCCGGAATGCCCTGCACGGCCCACATGTTAAGGCCGAAGATCGCCTGGGGCTTGTCTGGGCTGCCCAGGAGGCCCCCGGGGTCGGAAGGGTCCGGGAGGAGGAGGCAGGTCTCCGCTGTGTGGTCTGCTGCCCACCAGGCAGTGGGGTACAGCACGTGCACTTTGTTGAGCAGGCCGTGCGAGAGGCGCGAGATGGAGGCTATGCGCCGGGCTGGGAGGGGAGGGGAGAAGAAGGAGGGGGAGAGGGACTTGAGGACGCCGAGAGGGAGGGTGACTAGGCAGTAAGGGGCGGTGTGCGTACTCGTCTGCCCCGTAGAGGTAGAGCGCGTGGTGACCGTGACTGCTTGCGCACGATCAGCACTCTAGACCCTTCCAAACCACAAGCAGCGCACCTTCCCCGCCCTCGACGTTAACACCCATCACCTCCTCCCCCAGCCTAATCTCCCCTCCCCTTTCCTTCACCACATCAGCACAGAAGCCCGGCACCCGCCCATACCCGCCCACGACCGCTGCGTCCGGCCCCTGGGTATCCCGCTCGAACCCCCACCACCTGTAGCTGACCTGGTCCAGATCCGCACCCGTCCACCCGGAGGACGTGCGCGCCGCGGCGGCAACTTGGAAGCGCGCGAGCTTGTTGCTCTCCGGGATGTGGTCCCAAAGCCGGGAGGTGGGGGCGAAGAGCGGGTCCGCGAGCGCGAGCGTGGGGGAGGGCACGGAAGGGCCGTGCTGCGCGCTGTCACGCAGGTGGGCGAAGATGGTTTCGTGTGCCTAAGCTGCAGTCAGCCAGATGCGGTGGTACAGAGAATTACGGGGCGCACGTTATTGGCAATGAGCTCCTCCATCTGCGGGGGGAGATGCACGCCCGTGTGGTCCCGCACCGTGCCGTGTCGTTCACTCAAGAACTTGATTGGCTGCATCTCTGTCAGCGTCCTTCATTGCGTGTTCAATGAGACGAGCTTACGATACCAATCTCCCTCGCCACGGGGAGCACGGGATTCCCATACGTCCCATGTATGAAGCTCGCCCCGAGCTCTGCGACGCCCTGCCCAAAGGGCACCGTATTTACCCTTCCCCCTATACGTTCACGCGCTTCCAAGACGCGCACTTTCCGCCCCTTGAGCGCCAGGTGCCGCGCAGCCGCGAGACCAGAGACGCCGGCGCCGATTATGAGGACGTCCGGTTGGTCTGCTGGCGGAGCCTGGGAGGAGGAGGAAGCGAATGCGTACATAGATGTTGTCGGGCGAGGAGGGAGAAGTCGCTGCATGCTTCTCCGAAAACCTTTCTCCAGGAGCATACACCCGCCAAGATGGGCCGCGGAGCTGTTGGGGACAAGCCTCCCTCGGCCGGGTGCTGGCGTGTGTCCGTAATTGGGGGCGAGAAGGCCCGATCGGGGATCACGGCATGTACAGCCACTGATCCTCTCAGGGTTCTCTTCTCTTTCCCTCGCTCCCACCCCTCGCAGCAAGCGCACCTCGCCAGCGTCTAATCACCAGGCGAAGGATGTCCACCTTCCTCCACCCCGCAAAAGCAGTCGTCAAGCACACCCCCTCGCTCACCACCAAGCCCACAACCGTTGGAAAGGCACTCAAGAAGCTCACCCCGCCGGTCCCCCTGCAGGAGGGGGTGAAGCGCGTGACCTTGGTGTACAACAAAGACGCGCACGCCGCTGCCAGGTGCGTCCCTCTCTCTGCATCCCTTCACCTCCGAGCCCAGGTGCTGACCCAACAAGCAGGAGATTCGCGCGGGATGTGTACCCCCGCGTCGTCTACTCCAACAAGCACATCGCTTTCACTACCGAACCCCTACCAAAGCCTCCGCAAAAAGACGCCGGATCGCCCCCAGAGTGGGTGTTAACGTTTGGTAAGCCCTTCCCATATGTACAAACGGTGGGATGTACTGATTCGTGCGTGGCATGGCAGAGGATGGGAAGGAGAAGCGCCTCCGGATAGTGGGGATGCAGCCGAAGGGAATCCTGGGAACACTGGTGAACGAGGTGGGGTGGAGGGGAGAGGCAGAACAGCCGAGGAGCGCACAGGGTGTGGGACCGATCGGGGGACCGATGGAGGCCGGGAGGAGCGAGGAGGCGATCAAGGCATAGCTCGGCGCGGATGGCTGTCCAACTAATTCATTGGTATTGCATCCCAGTTCGGAGATGGTTATTGTGTGTGTGGTAAGGACCAACTCAAGTCGGCGTCTCGCAGCAGTGCGCGGAGGTCGTACAGTCTGGCGGGCAACTTAGAGCAGCAGGTCACATTCACGAAAGCTCCACGCGATAACCAGGATGCTCAGAGCAAGAAAGGGCAGATCATTACGTCAAAGACATAGGTACTTTTGGCTACATCGATACACCCGGCCGCCATCTATGCCGGCACATCTCTCCGTTCCATTTCGTGAGTTCACCACATCGCCGTTCCAGCCCGGGCCGCACCCTCGATCCATCTGCCATCTTTGGGGCCCGCGCCTACTCATGCCCGTACCGGATCGGGGCGAGCGGCTCTGCCCGCTGCTGGCTCAGGTCCGTCGCGTCGTCCACCTCCGTATCCAGTTCTCCCACGAGCAATCTAGAGATCAATAGCATCAGCACGTTTTGCTCCGTTCTCTCACATGACGACGAGCCAACGACATCGACGACGCGAGCACGGCCATTGAAGGAAAGAAGGGAGAAAGGGACGCACATCATATCCCCTTTGACGAGGTACAGTCCCAGGGGAACCTCCTCCACCGGCTCATCGGGGCTGTAAACGCGCTCGACGCTGTTGGAGAGGACGATGTCTGCGCGGTTGTCGAGTCCTACCAGAGTTCCCTGTGCAACCCACAAGGACATCCCATCAGCTACGTGAGGCGGGCTGGAAGGGAAGAGAGGACGCACGACGATGCACCGCCCGTCTTGCAGTATCAGGAGGACCCGTTCTGCGCGCACCGGTCAGGCATTATTGCGCAAGACAAGCTGGTGGAAGGAAGGGCGCACGGTTGATATAGCCATTCAAGCTGGCCATCCCTGCCCGCCGAGCTCAGCCCAGCGCTTCGCAGTGCTTCCGACAGTCAACGGCGGGTGATGTCTCTGGACGAAAGGAGCGAGGTGGGCGCCGGCTGTGGGACGAGGTGGTGACTACGAGAGGGCAGGTCGAGGCGCGCGAGAGTGTGTGGGTGAGGAATGAAGGCGCGTGCGCGTTTTGGTGAGTTGAGGGTGGCTGTGGGCGGAAGCTTCGCAGTCAGCGAGTGCACGCAGAAAGAAGGAAATGAAGTAGAGGGCGTTCTGGGGCAGAGGAGTGAAAGACTGACTAGACGGAAAGTTTGGAAGATTAAGCACTGGGTTTTGAAGGCTTGCGAGGTGATTGCAGAGAAAGGGGAGCGGGTAAATGTTTTTAGTTAAGGTAGATAGAAACGCAGCTTCAACCATCGTAGGGCATGTAGCTCAGCGGTAGAGCGCTCGCTTAGCATGCGAGAGGTCTTGGTTTCAATTACCAACCTGTCCAAACGTCATTAATTTTGCAGCTTTACAGTCTGCTTCTTTTACATCCTCCTCGGAAGCATTTTGTGGCTGGACCAAATCTCCGGTATTACTGTCCGTCAAAGTTCACTGATAACGTAGAATCAACGCCAAGCACAATGGTAGAGGTCACGACGACAAGTTGCATCTCTCGGCGGAAGAACGCTTTCTGCTTCTCCCTCCAGCGATACGACATTCCTCGGCGGATGCTCCGCTTCAGGCATCCTCTCCGGCCGTGCGTGCATCGCGCCCATACAGCATGCGCCGGCAGCCGGGCCCGGTCGGCCATGCACTTCCCAAACGCTCTTCGGGCGTGTAATGTTCAATATCGTCTCCACCATGGATACGTTCCTTTATGGAGCAGCTAGCCGGCGTACATAAGACCGCGGGGCCCCGCTGCTTGGCGTCTTGCTGCTCTTGCCCTCAAAGCCCTGCTCTCTGAAATCGCCCGCTGTGTACGAGTAAGATGTCGGTCGACGAGAAGCTTGACAAGCTCGCGTTGGAGAAGGAGTACAAGTTCCTCACGAGTGCGTACATCATCCGAGCAGGGGAGATCGTGCTGACAGCGTGCAGAGGAGCAGGTACAGCACTTCATGGAGAAGGGCTACCTGAAGCTGCCCAAGGCGTTCACGAAGGAGAAGGCGTCCGAGTGGCTTTCCGACCTGTGGGTGCGACTGGGGATGGATGCGGAGGACAAGTCGACCTGGACGCAAGAGCGAATCCACATGCCGCACTTCCGGCGCGAGCTCGTGTCCGACTTCTGCCCCCAGGCGTGGGGGGCGATGTGCGAGCTGCTGGGCGGTGTAGACCGCGTCTCAGAGGGCAGCGCGGTCTGGAACGACGGGTTCATCGTCAACCTCGGCCGGGCGGAGGACAGTGGGCGCATCACGGACCCTCGCGACCTGCCCGACTGGCACGCGGACGGCGACTTCTTCCTGCACTTCCTGGACTCGCCGGAGCAGGCCCTCCTCGTCATCCCCCTCTTCTCGGATATCCGCCCGAACGGAGGCGGCACGTTCATCGCCCCCGAGGGCGTCGCGCATGTCGCGCGCAAGCTGGCCGAGCACCCCGAGGGCATCCAGCCCGGCCTTGGGGACAAGCTGGACCAGTTTGACTTCTTGGCCCAGATGCGCAAGTGCAACGAGTTCGTAGAGGTCACAGGCGAGCTCGGCGACGTCTTCCTGCTGCACCCGTGCGCCTCTCCCCTCTCCCTTATCACTTTCCTGTGCTAACGTTACGACAGGTTGATGCTCCACTGCGCCTCGCGCAATGCCCTCCGCGACGTGCGGGTGATCACGAACCCACCCGTATCACTCAACGCACCCTTCCAGCTCTCCCGGTCTAACGCCGCCGACTACTCTGTCGTGGAGCTCAAGACGCTGCGCGCGCTGGGCGTGGACCGCCTCGACTTCAAGCCCACCAAGGATAGGCAGAGGATCGTTCCCGAGCGGGTGAGGCGCCAGCAGGCGATGAAAGAGAAGGAGATGGAGCGCTTGAAGGCTGCAGGGCAGAAGGTGCCAAAGTCCAAGTGGACGAAGCCCCAGCCGGGAATGGAGCATGCCCTGGTGCAGTGAAAGCACAACCAGCATTGTTATATGCGGTTGGAGACGTGCAATGGATATGATCGCAGGTCTTCCATGTTATTGCGCAGCATGCCTACAGTGATCAGGCTACTGAACGTGAGCGGGCAGGAATGCCATGGCACTAGCACATGCCGAACATGATCAGGCTAAGAAGTGTGAGAACGCAAGAATGCCCAAAGGTGATCACGCATGCCTGTAACGATCAGGCTAAGAATGCGCGAGCGGGAATGCCATGGTGATCGCGCATGCCGGGCGTGATCAGGCTGAGGAACGTGAATGAACGTGTGGAGCGTATTGTCGCGAAGGTGATCAGAACCCCTTGCCGAAGCAGGGTACTCCTTGCATCATTGTTTTGAGGCTATGGACACGTACCTGCACAACGGCGATCGTAAATCGCGAGTAGTGGACAAAGTGTACTCAATAGAACTCGAGACGGGAACCATACGGCAATCGCATCTGCAACAAGCCAGTAAGCAGAGCATCTCTATAACCACTCTGCATCAGATGACAGTTCCTCCTCGCACCTCTCTCCCTCCAAGGCTATGAAGGTTTCTGCGGGATCCCTGCGTTCTCCTGCTCCTTCGCCTTTGCCTCCCTCTCCGCCTTCCTCGCCAACCAACGCCTTCTCAGCTCCTCCTGAATCAGGTCATCCAGCTGCCCAGCATTCATCCACGCGGCCCACGGGATCGACATCAGTCTGGCCGTCCTCCTCTGATCGTTATTGGGCGCCATCCCACGGCGGTCTTCGGGCATGAGGCTCATTGGCTCCGGGTCGACCTCGCGCCGCCGTACCATCGCGCTCGTCATAAAGTCCGACGCCTCGCCGCGCGTCACGGTTCTCGGGTCGAAGGGAAGGGCCATCCCGAGCTGCCATGCGATTCGCTCGCAGCTCGCCAGGAGCTTGGGCGGGACAGGATCGTCCCGCTCGTTGCGCAGGCCCGGCTGGGGGTTCAAAACATCCAGCTTGGGGTAGTCCTGTGTGCGTTTAGCGGATGGAAAAGTACCAGAGGAAAGCAGAGCGCACGTGGCGAGTCTTGAGAATGATCTGCCATAGCTGATCGGAGCTCAGCTCCTTCAGCGGCTGCTTTGGCTTCACGAGCCCCACATTCACTAGTTTTTGGACCAGCTCCTGGCGTTCGCTCTGAGAATACAATATCATCGGTCAGTGTGCTACTCAGGAGAAGGATGCGTACCCAGATCTGGGCGTCACGGTCCCGTTTTGCGCGCTCTGCCTCTGTGCGATCTTGCTCAACCGTCTGTTGCCATGTTTTCTCCTGCTCCGTTAGGACTTGGGAGGTTCTTTCTCGCTCAGACAGCCCCTGCTCCTTCGGGGGGCGCGCTTGCTGAGCGAGGGCTATCCAAGGAGCGGAAGGGTCGGAGTTGGTGCTTTGGGAGCGGCGGAGCGGGCGCAGGATGTGGACCGCCAGCCCGCCACGTCGGCATGACGAGAGCTGGGATGTGCTTGCGCGAAGTGAGGGGCGTAGTAGGGATGTCATTGTACGGAGCAAGTTAATACAAAACGGAGATGAACTGCGCAGGCGGGAGGTAGAGTCGTTCAGGCGCTCGTCGAGTGAAGGATCGTCTCTCCGGAACCGAGGAGGTTATTCCGTATTATCAGGGTCCTCAGTCGCAGGAAATTTCGAGCGTACGATCTGCTCGAACTTGAACTTGTTGCCGTCCTCTCCCTTCCCCCTCGCTCCCCCCTCCTTCTCGTAGGGTATGGCCCACCCTGTCCGGCTTACTCTCAAACACGTTGCATACCGAGCAGCGAGCAGCTCGCGCGCCCTTGTGCGACATTTCGCCTGGCAAGAGCCCGGCGTGAAGAAGACATATCCTGGATGGACATGGAACACCAGGCCGTCTCAGCCGAGTCTCGCAGCCGCAAACGTCGCGGCGACGGAGGGGTTCAGTCTCCCCCCACCATTAGAAGGCTCTCTTCCAGGTCCTCCCGCGCGGGAAGTCTCGAGTGCGAGCAGCGCAGACGCTGCGTACCTGCTCAGCTCGGAGGCCCACGAGCTTCAGCAGACCCAGGCGACTCCGAACCCTGCCTTTCTGCGGAGCCTGGATGAGTCCCACCAACAGGGAAGGGAACCTTCGTGGGACCGCCGGGGAACCCAATCGCAGGCGGCACCGACCCTGGCCCAACTTGAGACGGCGAACAGGCTGGTGAACAGAGGCGCGGATGTGGAGGGTCTGAAGGAGGACGTCACCAGGGGGGAGATGTATGATTGGATTGCCAAGGTGCGTACGAGCGGGGGCAGGAGACTCACATTTCTTGTCTCCTGCTGTTGGGTAGCATGAACTAACCCGCGTCGTTCTACAGGCTAAGAAACAGCTCGGCATCGTTACTCCCCATGAGGACAAACCGGCCGGCAAAAAGCCTCCTCCGCGACATGGCTCTGCGGAACGTGCTTCCTCCGCCGCGTCTGGGCAAGCAAGGAGCCCACAACCTACTGCGTCCAAGAGGGAGTGGAGGCCGTCGTCCGCCGCGCGGGTACCGTCGCCGCCGCCGCTGCTGACGACCAAGGAGCGGTTCGAGCTGTACGTTGCGAAAGGTGCCGAGGTATCCAAGCCATTCGAGGAGATGACAGATGATGAACAACGCGTGTGGTTAGCGGATGCGCGCGCAGTACGTGCTTCTCCACCCTCTCCGTCCTTGTTGGCGCTTGCTGAGTGCCTTGCGTAGAAGCTGGGCCCGGTCGCGCCGGAGAAGGGGGACGCGCCCATACCCTACGAACAGAAGCGGCGTATGCAATGGATATCGCGCGCGCTCGACATCCCCATCCCCGTTCCCGAAGGCGGAAGAAAACTGAACCGTGGGGATGCGGCGGACTTTTTCAGCAAAGGCTATGTTGAGCTGATGAAGAATGAGATCTGGATCCTACCCCAGATCTCGGAGAAGGACCGCGCGCTCCCCCCGACCCGGGCGCTAAGGCATGAATCGAAGACCTTGGGTCTGGGGTTCGAGGAGATCGGGGGGAAGAACGCGGGGGAAATTGTGGAGATGATGCGGGAGCGGCTGCATAAGAGGGGGGCCCAAACGGAGGGCAAGAGGGGGGACAAGCTGCGGAAACCGACGGAGACTGACGCAGACGCCGTGGGCGAGAGGGGGGACAAGCTGCAACCGACGGAGACTGCCGCTGACGCGGGCGCAGTGGGCACTGAGGAGAGTAGGTAGCTTGGGAGGCAGCTTGGCGGCATGGCTGCGAGGTAGGACGATACAGTCGTCGACGATGTTATGGGATTCCATTCACAGTGCTGATACAATACACCGTCGCCCACTACTCGGCGGGCGGCGTCTTCCTACCTCCTGCAAGGCGCACGCAACAATACCAAAGTACTGTCCAACCCCCTTCCCTCATCGCACCGCCGAAGGAGCCACAAACGCCCCTTGCCCCCTCTC